TCCCATGTAGATTTATTCTTCATTCAAGTTGCAAGTTGTGACACCAGGTGGCGTATTTGGCGAATATCCAAATATCCAAGAGGGAAATAGTGAGTAAAATAAAGAATGATGATATATATATATATATATTGTACACACCCTTCAATTAGCATCACAACTCCAGTTGTAATATATAAATGAAAGAATAAAAAGTTTTTTAACATATGTTGTAAGAAATATCCTTGAATTTTTTATTAATATGTTATATTGAACTCAAAGGAAGTTAGCCTTTGCATTGATTTTTACAAGTTTTCTAAGTTATTACCTATCACTAATTCTTAAAGCGTCTTCGAAACTTTTTACAAGTAATCCAACAATTTGAATAAAAACTTGGAAACAATTTGGTTGTATTAAATACCTTCTGTTTGAAACGGATCAAGTTGACAAAACTTTTTCCGAAATCCTTGGGTAATGTTTTAACTTTGTTCAAATGAATTTTTTGTCATCTTTGATAATGACATCACCAACTAATAACAATGGTCATTCAGAACAAACAAAACACGGTAAACATACAACAACAATAGTAATTGGTACACATTAGTTCTAATAATGTACAACAGTAAACTTACAACTTCAAACGGTAACAATGAATCAACCAACTCACAAAGCTTTTGCAGATAGTCAAAGCTCACAAAGCCAACTTTGTACAATAAATTGAATATTGTATATAGCACAACGGCGAAAGGCTAACTAGATTACAATCCGTTAATTACATCCGAGATACACGTGTTGACTAACTGAGATGGACAGGTAGACATACTTGACATAGAGTCCCCACTTCGACGCCGTCCCCACCAGGCGTCGCTTGGCGTCGTCGTCGTGGAAACCCTCTCCGTGGCGCCGCCGCACGTGTGTTAATGTAGCACACATAACTAAATTGGATTACGGCCCAACGAGACGCGGGCAAGCACGAAAATGTTCACGTTATTAGCTCATAAGTCGGTGTACCACCTTAAAAAAGAAAAAAAAAAAAAGGAAAAATCGCTAAACGTAATATAATTTATGCCACCTTTAAACCACAACGCTCGGAAATTTCGACGTAAGGGAATACGCTCAGGGGTTCTATTCAGTTTCTCTTTTCACTCATGTACTCTTAAGCTTCTTGTATGTCTTGTATGTAATAATTGTAAAATATTAATATCTAAATGGCTCATTTTCTTGTTTTACGATCTAGCGCTTCTTTTTTGACCTTTATACAGGGACGGATTTAATGATTTATTTGACTGAAATGGTAACGAAGCTTTTAACAATTAACGAACCTTTATGACTAAATCAAACCTAAACAAGATGAATCCTTGATGTCAACACTGCGAACTCACCACTATAAAATAATAAAAAATAAGTAAATATTTATCAAGAAATACTCAAACTTAATTTTTCGAAATTTTTTCGTTTAAATAAAAACGATTTTACCAAATGTTATGTTCTATCGGTATCTCAACGAAATTCGTACGATTTTCCAATAATTTCCCTATAACTGTGAAGTCTTGCATTGGTGCACAATTTATTGGGAAAATTGTGTGCATGTTTCACAGGATTCTTCAGGAATATTATTACTTAAATACTTTATACTCCACAACAAGGCGAAATGTAGTTAAATGCATAAAGTCAATTAAAGCTAGAAATCTCTACTTTTCAGCGGTATGAGTACTTAGGTACAATTCTAAAAATATATCAAACATTTCAATTTAGTAAGAAAAAGTACTTCAAAAATTCGAATTGTTTTGTCGTTTTTAATTGATTAGGTAATAAGTGAAAATAATTGTAATAGAAAGCTTAACATTTCGGTATTATTTTTTTTCTGTATCTGTGCGGCTACACGAAAGTTGTTACTGTGCGTAATGAAATTAGTTTCACCCACGCCATCAAATCAAATACAAGGAAAAAAGTTTTTGGAGCATTTCTTCTTGCTGAATTGTTTCGGAAAGTTTGAACATTTTTAGAAGTGGAAGTATAATACTGTCTCACAATAGACATATATCAAGCTTCAGTTATCCTTTTCATATAACTTTCTACGACCATTGGTAGTAAACTTGGACCAAATTGAATGTAGTAATTTTTTATGGAAAAAAATTGTACTACTGTATTCATTTTTCGTCGGTCCAATCATTGGGACGTCTGGTGTTAAACGGACAGAAGCGCACATAGACAAAAGCGGAATTGCTATCATTATTATTATGGAAAACAGAAAAAATAAATTTAAAAAAATTCAACTTACTCCAATGTAAGCAAAAAGAATAATATACAGAAGATGTGTATTAAGTGAGGAAGTGATTTCTTATAAACCGTAAATCTCCGGTAAATTTCGGCTATGTTAGCATCATAAAATTACAATAGGAAAAGACAACACGAACGAAGTGTCCTTTCTTCTGTTTTTGACATTGATACCTGCCACTTTTACCGAAATCCCCCGTTGTATATGATTCGTTGTTAAAATTTTTTTTCTTTAATTTTTGAATTTTATGGTAGGCATACTTTATAACTCTATAAATTTTTCAATGGTTTAGTTAAATTGTTACTGTACCTCCCTTTAGATTACTTACAAGAATTAATAATAAAAATTTCACCTCATGAAAATTCTACTGGACCCAAGAGTGTTATTCATCGTCCTATTTTAAACTAAATTTTTTTGAGTTTCCTACACTTTTGATTTATTGACAATAATATTAACACAATACATTCGATAAATCATCATCATAAAGTCAGTGATTGGACACGCACCACCAGAATGTCCCATAACTGTTTATGAACAGTAATCTAATCTACTCCTCTTAACTCCTGTTTCTGTTTGTAATATGTCTGTGACTAATCCTTTATGCCTAAGAAGGTCTCCTACCAATCTATCCCGCCTATTTCTTATTGACTTCCATAGAGTCCTCTGTTCTCCTATTCATTCTAATACCTCTTCATTTCTAACCTTCTCTATCCACGGTATCCCCATCATTCGCCTGTAACGTCACATTTCGAAAACTTCTAACCTTTTCTCTTCCGTCGCTCCCACCGTCTATGTTTCGCACCCGTACAGTCTCGCTTCAGACGTACATCTCTTTCGAATTTCTAAATTAACCGATCGCGAGCACGGTAGTGACTTCTGTTTGTTGAAGGCGACTCGACCCCACATTATCCTTTGTTTTATTTCTTTAGTGCCCCTTTCATCCTGACTTATCTGACTTCCTAGGTATCGAAAATCAGCCACTTCTTCTAATTTTTCGTCTTCAATCTTTATGTTTGCTCACTCCGTACTTTTTCTTCCTTTGCATACCAGTAATTTTGTTTTATTATTATTTATTTTGATATAATACTGTTTTGTCAATACCGCTTCCATTTATTTAAGACTATTTCTAACTCCTTCTTGCTCGGTGCTGATACAGCTATATCATCTGCAAATCTAATCGTACTAATCTTTTGCCCCCGTATATCTATCCCTGCATGCTCCTCTGCAGTTGTCCAGTTTTTAATGTCGTTGATCACGTCTTTGATGTATATACTAAAAAGTAGCAGTGATTCTAATCCAACTAGTCAACAGCAAGAATGGGTACATTCTGAGGAATTTCGTTGATGATTAAATAATGAAATAATCAATTTTTAGGGAAGTTAAAAGAACTTACGCAATATTTGGTGATTGTTAAAATAACGAGATCTGAATCAGTAATCATTTTTATATTATTCTTTTCAATTCGCGGGCAATCACGAAATTTTGCTAAAATTGTTCCGATTGAAATGGAAAAGCTTTTTTATTTAATGAATACTAATTGTCGGAAAATTTCAGCTTTTAATGGAATTCACACGAAAACATTGTAGGCGGAAGGACTATTTGATTTAATTCGCACTTTGAAACTTTTTATTCGTTATTATTCTACACGTTTATTTTCTTTAAATTGTGTTAGTTATTTTCTATTGGAAAATAAAATGTTAGGTTTCATCTCACAGTTGTGAAGGGAGCAACGCGTGTCAACGAAGAAAAGAAATACCTACACGGTTTTCTTTTTTAAGATGTGTCACCGAAAAGAAGTTTGTTCAATCATCCGATTAATTGATTCTTTTTTTGGGCGAATAAAAAATGGAATGTGTCTTTAGAGAAACCATGGCAACTTCTGAATATTCAAATTCCGAGTAAAGCACACGTATAAAATTTCAGTTTCTCCATATAAAAATTACCAAGCCAACATTTATAAATATCTATTTTTATTTATTTTCATGTATTGGTTTATCCGAAAAAATATGCAGTGGGTATGACTAAGACTCGTGGGAATGGTTATTACTTGAGGGTAAATTCCACTACTAATTATAAATTAGGCTGAATTCATATCAATATCTAGAAATGCACGTGGCAGTTGGAATTCTAACCATAACTTTCCAGTAGAGCACAGAACGAACATCGAAAAAATTAACCATCCTGTTGCACGTAAATTAAACAAAAGTTTCAGTTAAAATATTTGTTGGGCACGATCTGTATACAGGGTGTTCCAGCTAAGGCGGTTTCGTCAATAAGTCGGCTATTATATACTTAATAAAAAAAATATTTTTATAAAACTGGTCTGGAATCATATGGTGTATATGCTACTGGAAATGTATGAAACCCGTCATTGTATACAATACCTAGTAAATGTACCTATACAATAAAATCGCCCAGAAATGTGTAAATACATTATATTAGGCACATTTCCTAGGAAATCTATACATTTCCTAAATAGCAATCGGAAATGTATTACAGGTCATACTAAATAGGCAGTAATACGCCAGGCTGTTTGGAGATGTACCTATATTCATTGGTGACGTCATTGTTTGGCTAGGGAGATTTATGACAGACTGCAGTTTCTCTAATACTCCTGTCCGCCTAAGGAGGGCTGATATGTTAGATATTAGAATAATGGTACGCGGTTATCTTTGTTACAGCAGACACGATGACCTTGAATTTTTAGTATGTTGTAGAAATGGAAGCGGTACTGACAGATCAGTACTGTATGAAAATCAATAAAAGTAAAACTAAAATACTGATATGCAAGGGAAGAAAAAGTAGGGAAGGGACGAAAAATTAGAAGAAGTGGCTGATTTTAGATACCTAGGAAGTCAGATAAGTGAGGATGGAAGGAGTAGTAGGGATATAAAGCAGAGGATAGCGCAGGATCGTGTCGCCTTTAATAAAAAGAAGTCACTTCTATGCTTGCGAACGGTTAAATTAGAAATTCGAAAAAGGTTGTTAAAGGTGTATGTTTGGAGCACGGCGTTGTACGGGTGCGAAACATGGACAGTGGGCGCGGCGGAAAAGAAAAGGTTAGAAGCGTTCGAAATGTGGTGTTATAGGCGGATGATGAGGATATCGTGGGTAGAAAAGGTTAGAAATGAAGAGGTATTAGAAAGAATAGGAGAACAGAGGACTCTGTGGAAGTCAATAAAAAATAGGCGAGATAGGTTGGTAGGACACCTTCTTAGGCATGAAGGTCTAGTCAGAGACATATTAGAGGCAGAAACAGGAGTTAGGAGGGGTAGAGGTAGACCTAGATTAGATTACTCTTCGCAAATAGTTAAGGATGTGGGTTGTTCTAGTTTTAGGGAAATGCGAAGTTTAGCTCAGGATAGGAAAGAGTGGAGGTACGTGTCCAACCAGTCTTAGGACTGATGACCTTATGATGATGTAGAGGTAATAATGCTGATCATTTTCATATAAATATATGTTGGCGCGGAGATCATAATGAGGCATACTATTCGAAGACATTATTCCAACATATCAGC